ATTCAAAGTTAAACTCGATTGAAGAAGATATATGGAAAGAAAGCATGAGCTTGTCTTACTCTGTTACTTCACAATTCGCATCCTCATCGATCAATCCGTCTCTTTCGATATAAAGACATTTGCTCCAGTTCCCAGCACCTAAAAATTTGTCCAAAAATGTTAGATATGATGGAGTCCATGGTTTCCGGCTCTAGATCTGGTTGATTCGCTTCAGATCTACTAAAGGAGAGGGGACGAAATGCAGTCGGAGGCATGGTGGATGAAAGCAAGGGAGTGAGGACGAGTGGCGGTGGCTAGTTGACATTGACAGCGAGATCGGTGGAGGCAATGGCTGTGACGAAAAAAAGGAAGCTCGACTAGAGAAAAAGAGATAAGGCAGAAGAGAATATGAAAAACTAGGGTTTTATATTAATTTGTGTTTATATGTGTGGTTATGGTTTTAATTTTTTCGCCAAAATTTTAGTGGGAATTATTTCCCCCCCCCCTTTCCAAATTGCTACATATTTTGTCGTTATTATTCGTGACTATTATAGCTACATATTTTATTCTATAGCAAATTGGTAGTTATTTATTACAAAATTGCTATAAAATGTTGTTGTATCAATTTTGTTACGATTATGTTGTCACTAATTAGTAGCCATTTTGCTACAACCTAAATTCATAGCCAAGTTGTCACTAATTAGTTACAGATCCTCACAAAAATGCTACAACCTATAAAATTAGCTTATTTGTCACTAATTTGAATCTATTTGTCGCAAAATTTTGTTACAAACTATTATTGTTGCAAAATTTGTAACTATGTTCACATTATCTTGTAGTGTTTGGCTAGGTACACGTACATTACATTACAGAGACAAATCTCGATGTTATCTTTGAGTTGGATGCCATTGAGAATCCATAATTATGGTTTTGTTCTTGAGATGATTACTTTTGATTTGTTATCGTCTCATTAAGATTTGATCGCGAAACCAATTATTGAACCAAAGATTCTCTATTTTTTTTTTTGTTGAAAGCCAACGATTAATTATTTATGTTGCTAGCCTAAATTTACCATCGGTCTTGAATTGTATCATTCTTCGTCCGATTCATCTACACCAAATCTGGTTTTGTTCCATCATTTGAGCTAATAAACAGTCTTGAATTTTATGTGAACTTTAATGAAATGGGTTTTGAAGTTTAAATATATATATACTACTTATAAACATATTTGAAAAAAATATTTATTTACTTCCTTTAGAAATATTGTATAAATATTTTAAAAATCTTTTTACTATATTGTAAAAACATTAAGGGAGTGTTATCGGATCAAAGATTTAAGCATAGGTTA